GTCCTTGCGCCCACAGGAACCTGGGTCTTCCAACTGGAGTACAGAGCCGCCCCAGGGGGTGCCCCTGAGACATACTCAGAGGGCAGCAGACAGGCATCGCCACCAGTCGCTGTCTCCCTGTCTCTCACCTCTGGCCCATGACATTCCTTCTTTGCAGAAGCAAAGCAAACAGGACGGGGAAGTGATCCCACCTGCCCACCCCCACCCCCACCCCGGCCAGCTTCCCATCTACTCCTCGTCCCTCCATGCGGTTTCAGTCACAGCTGGAGGATTCGGGATTCTTCTGTGTTCGGCTGAGAAGTGGGAAAGAATGCTACCTGGGGAAGCTACCTGGGTTCCTCCCTATCACTCCATGCTGGTGGTGGCCAGGCCGGCAGGAATTGTGAGGAGATTCAGATTCAACCCCCTCATTAGCTTCTGTGCCGTAGAGCCCAAGGAGCGACAGTGCCCTCTCTGGCTGGGAACAGCTCTGGGGTGAGGTCAGCAGAAACCAAGAGAACACTACATGCGTGGTGAGGGCAGGCCCTCCAGTCAGGCAGGGACCCAGAGCCGAGCTACTGGGTTAGCCTAGCAGCTTGGCTGTGGGGAGAGGTGTGTGGGGGAGGTCCTGGGAGTGGGGGAGGTGAGAACTCTTTTTGGCTTCGTCAGAAAAGAAGGGGAAAACTAGCCCATTTCCAGCAGGTGGTCTGTGGAAGTTTCCTATGGCAGAGTTTATTTTGGAAGATTGATGACAGGAATTGAGATCTGACATCCAAAACATGCCATGATAAATCATCCTTCTCTTTCAGGGAATGACATGATTTTCCTCTCTCTCTGTAACTCAGCAGGCAGGGAGCTGGGCAGCATCGTCAGCACAGGTTTCAATGCCCCTCTTGGGACACAGATAGAAGAATAAATAAAGTCTTATTACAGACTGGGCCGGCTGCTCTCACAGGTAGATTGAGAGAAAAAAAAAAACTATGGAAATGTCTTCTCCAAGAAAGCAATGAAATGGGGCTTCTTTCAGTAACCTTGAGAAAGATCTGATGCTGAGGGCTGGGCCCTTTCAACTCCAGGCCCCAGCTGCCCCTGTGACCTCTGGGTCTTTTGTTGGGATATCAAATGCTGTCTTCAAGAAGACATGCTCCTGTTCTCTGGATCCATTACTTTGGGGGCCAGTCTCCTTGCCTGCTTCTCAGGTTCTCTGCAAATGACTTGGCTCCCAGCCCCACCCTGGGCTTTAGGGCGAGGCCAGGGACAGGAACCTGACACGCTACCTATAATTCGTGTAGTCTCCTAATCTAACCTATTGACATTGCTGTCTTAACAACAACAACAACAACAACAACAACAATAACTTGTGTAGTCTCCTAATCTAACCTATTGACATTGCTTTCTTAACAACAACAACAACAACAACAATAACAACCACCACAACCTGCCCAAAGTGACTTGGCTAGAGTGGAGCTGTCCACACAGCGATGTGGACATCACATCCTCGGGAGCAGTCCACACTTAGAGCCGCTCACTGCCCTGTTTACTGAATGGGCAGGAGACCTTTCAAGGACCAAAAGTGAGCAGAGATTATCTCTTTCTTTCTAATACCTGGTGCTTCTTTGACTCTAGTTCTTTGGGGGACAAAGGAGCTGGGCTAACAATGGGCAAGCCAGCCTTTCAGATTGAAATTGGGACCTGCTTCGCGGGGACAGCCATTGTCTGGCCCTGGAGGGATGCAGAGGTGGGCGGAAAGCAAAACGGCAGCCCTTTTTCCCATGTCAACATTCTGGAGGGACCCTGCCGATTTTTCCAGAGGGTGTAGTGCTCCCCTGGAAGACAGCACGGCCAGATATCAGTTCTCCCACCCAGGGCCCGGTTACCAGCAGAGAGCAAAACCTTTCAGATGTGTGAGAGCAGGCTGCGGCTGGAGTTACTTACAGGAGGTCCTGAAAGAGAGAGAGAAAATGCGAGGGTCAGTGTCACTGATGCGAGTATGAGGTGGGGTGCGGGGTGGGGGAATGCCTTAGAAGAAGCGTCCAAGAATTCTTCGGCTGGTCTTCGAAGTTTGTGTTTTCCTGGCCCACTTTCACTAGTATAATCTCTTCTCCCTTTATTTCATCTCCAAATTTTCATCATTGGATGAGAAATCCAGAGGTCTGGGCCCCAGGCGCAGCCCTGCTGGGGCCCTAACTTCCCAAGCAGTCTCTTCCATGCCTCAGCTTCCCAACCCACAAAGGGGGCCCTTCGAGATGTGCCCCAACGCATGTACACAGTTGCTTTGAGGAACACAGGTCAGCGGGCATCAAGGCACATTGCAAAAGGTCAAAAGCGTAACTGAACCTAAAGAGACCATGATTATTAGCAAGCTTGCTGTCCTCTCCACGCTTCCATGAAATACAAGGAAAACAAGCAGGAAGCAGGGGCAGAAGGTTTCTCATTTGGTCCCCTGCCTGATGTATATCGGTCTGTCCTGGTTTCTATTAAGCTGTGAGTCAGGCGGTTCTGCCCTCCTGGGTCTGCTGCCCGCTAAACTTTTTCTCACCGCCCACCTCTGTGCTCCAGCCCCACCTCTCCTCCCATCCTCCCCTCTCTCCTCCCCTCTCCTCCCCTCCCCTCTCCTCTCACCTAGTTATGTCCACTCACCCTCCTACCTCCCAAAGGGTTCAGCAATGGCCCTATCTCATTACTGACAATGGCCATGAATTACAAATTCAAATGCTCTGAAGAAGGGGGCAGGACGATGGGTGGGGAGGGAAGGTAAAGAAAAGTAGCAGCAGAAAGATGGTGAACTAGAAGGCATTTCTGCAGCACATGAGTCATGAGACCCCCAAGGCCTGTGGGATTCCCAGCTGGGCCTGGTGAGTCTGCCCAGCCCCTGGTGACCTGGCTACGTTAACACAGCTGCTACTCCTGTGGCTTCTTTTATGCTTGGCCAATAAAGACTCCTTGTGTTTCCCCCTGCTCCTCACATTCCCAAGGCCAGCTTCTTTCTCTCCACCTTCATCAATTGGCCAGCTTTTCTGTCCTGGTCCCCATCCAGGAGGAAAAAGCCTCTTTCATGCTGGCCTCTGTCAAGCCATCATGTTAAGGGGGAACAAAATGTTTTAAATTAAAAATAATAATAATAATAATAAGTCAAGAGGTATAGTGACTGGGTGAGGCAGCCCCAGGGTTTTAGTAATAGCTGGAGGGAAGGAGGTTGAAGGAGGAGGGGAGCATCTGGGACCTATTAGGCTGAGGGGCAGGGGAATGTCACCCAGAATCTGAAAATATCTCCGGAGTACAGTTGGCCAGAGGGGCCAGCTGGCTAGGAAGTCTGTGCCTCCTGGCTGGGGTACGTGTTCTCTTGAGAAGCAGGCCGATGACAAAGTTTGACCCACAGTAATTTTGGGATGGTTTAGCCACATGGATGGCAGATGCCCTATACCCTCGAGGCCCAACAGGCGCTGGATCCGAGTGCTGCAGGCTCTGGGGGAGTCCCTGGTGATGGAGCTACTCCGGTGACCACCTGCCTGCTGTTAGCAGGCAGCTGACATGGGACTCGGCACTCAGCCAGGTCCCATGAGAGCCATTTGCTTGGCCCGTGACTAACTGACATAAATTCCACTGAAGATTTCAAAAGTTTTTATATCAGCACCACCACCATCATCACTGCACATACCTTTATGGTCCTTACTACGTGACAGGCACGATTCTAAGTGTTTTCTGTTAGAGAGAAAATTCTATCATCCTCACCCTGCAGATGAAGAAACTAAGGCACAGAAAGGCTGAGTTACTCCGCTAAGGCCCTTCATTATAGTACCTCGCCCTACACCTCTCACTCAGAAAGCAACTCCCTCCACCCCAAATCGCTCATAGTCCCATTCTCTTTCCACACCTCTCCCTGGCTCCTCTTTCTAGACCCAACATGCCCATCTCTCTTTTCTGGGCTCCTTTATCTGATGCAAGGGAATTTGGCTCTGTCAAGCTCTTCCAGGCTCTCATCCCCCAACCCGTCCTTACAGACTTCAGCAAAGTTAAAGCACTTATTTGTCAGTTGATTCTGTACCTTAGGAAAAAGAAGAGAGATAGAGGAATCATAGAAAGAAAAGAAAGAAAGAAAGAAAGAAAGAAATCCTTACACAGACTTCAGCAAAGTTAAAGCACTTCAGTTGATTCTGTACCTCAGGAAAAAGAAGAGAGATAGGGGAATCATAAAAATAAAAAATGATTGAATGAATGAATGAATGAATGAATAAATAAATAAAAGACTTTTTTTATCGCGTTCCCCTGCCTGCCTTCAATGATGATTCTCAAAGGTCCTCCTGGGAAATCTTTAGGCCCCTGGAAAATCTCACTGCTGCCCCTGCTTTCATCAGACCCCTAGATTTGAGAGCAGATGCTTCACCTAACACTGCGTTCAATGCCCAGCAGTGCTAGGTGGCTGGGGAGGCGATGCCCTTGTGAAATCCAGCAGTGCCTTGATGTCACTGGTTGGTCTCCCACGTGAGCCACTCGGCTATGCTCAGTAA